GGGGTCAAGCGCCTCTTGAGGACACCCAAGCAGAAAGTGGAGCCTGTTGAGTCATACATCGGAGTAAAGAGGCTTTTCAGAATACCCAAGCAAGAAGAGTCTGTTGCAGATGACATCTGCTCCAAACTTTTGGAGGCTCCAGAAGAAGCATTAGAGGAATTGAAAAATGCTACTGAGAGAAAGCAGAAACAAAGAATGCGACTTAGGAGAAGCAGTGGTGTTAATAATATTGAAGAGCCTAAGGAAAGTCTAAAGGCAGTGGAAGAGAAGGAAGAAATTCAAAGGGTATTAAGAACACCAAAGGAAAAATCTAAACCTATGAAGGATACAGTTGGAGTTAGTCTACTATTAAAGACACCAAAGCAATCATTTATGCCAGTTGATGACTACTTGAAATTGCAGAAGTTTATGGCTGAACCTAAGCACAACTATTTTAGTCCTGAAATAGATTATACAGGTATCAAAGAGATGTTGGATCATGCAGATGAACATAAGGTAGGTTCCTGTGTGTGTGTGTGTGTGTGTGTGTGTGTGTGTGTAAAATCTGGAATTCCATCATTATTTTAGTAAAAGAAGACATTAGCATTATTTATTTCCTTACAAAGTAAGGTTTGAAGCATCTTCCTGTATTATGTAATTCTGTCTTAATCTGAGAATGCATATAATAGTGGATAATCCATTCCTTTGAACAAAAAGTTGGGATGAAGCATTTTTAAGGAACTGAACTTGGGGAATAGGCTACTATAATTGTTAGTCTAGCCCTGCTAGAGTAGGAATTAGGATAATTTTGGATTCCTAGTTAGTAATCCTTATGTTTGAAAATGCTGAGCATGGACAGAAACAGTCTTTGTTTTTGTTAGCAGAAGGAAAATGGATCTACTGTCACTGATAACTGCTATTTGCACTAGTAGTTATCTAGAGATTTCTGCACCATGTTTATGCCATTGCCTAGTCAGTTTTGTGTAGGTGAAGTTATAATTAGCACTTGTTCATTTGATTTAAAGGTTCTTAATTTGTGTGAGAATCCATTTCCATTCCATAACTATATCCTTTATATGCTTTGTCTGCATCATTCTCAAGATACTGACCAGAAATATATGTAATAGTTCAGATGGCATTACTATCTGTTTTTCATTTTTTTTGATATATTTTATTAAAATATTTAAACTAACACTAAAAAAAAAATCAAACATCACAAACATTGGATTCAGTGGGTCAACTCCTACTACATATTTTTTAACATTCTAATATCAAATTCCAATTAATTTATCATAGTTTGAAAAACATCTCTAAATTTACGCCAAGTCCCATTTCTCCAGCCAATTATAAAAAGAGTCCCAAGTTCGATAGAAATCAGTATGCTCTTTCTCCTTCAACAATAAAGTCAATCTATCCATTTCTGCACAGTCCAAGATCTTTCTTGCAATCAATCCATCGGTGGGCAGCTCCTCACTTTTCCAATATTGAGCAAATGCAATCCTCACTGCAGTAATTAGATGCAACATCAAATAGATTTCCTGTCTGTTAACATCTTCCGGTATAATGTCTAACAAGAAAAATTTGGGTTTAAAAGCAAAGGGTTTTTGTAATATTTCCTCCATCCATCTATGTATTTTAATCCAGTACTTTTTTGCGTTGTCACAAGTCCACCACATATGATAAAAAGTACCCACTTTATGTTAACATTTCCAACATCTGTTTGACATATTTGGAAACATCTTAGCTAGTTGACTTGGTGACAAATTCCATCTATAGAACATTTTATATAAGTTTTCTTTATACAAAGTTGCTAAAGTTACTTTAATGTTTCTTTCCCATAGTTTTTGCCACTTTTCTAGTTCAACATTAAATCTAAAGTTTTGTGCCTATGTTATCATAGTTTCCTTAACCTGTTCCCCTTCCATTTTCCTGTCAAGTAAAAAATCATACAGTCTTTTAATAATTTTCTCATCTGTTTTAAGCATCGCTTGATCAAATTCTGTTAGGTCTCTATAGAACTTCCATGTTTTACAATCCTTGGCATATCTTGATTGCATCTGCACCTTATACCACCAGGAAATATTAAGTCCCTGTTCTTGTATTTCTTACTCCAGTTTCAGGCCACCATCCTTATCCAGGGTATCACCACATCTTGTGATCTTTTCAAAGTTCAATACATTTGGATATACAAAAGCTTCCATAGGTGAAAGCCAGCTTGGTAATTTATTGTACAGTTTTAGCTTTAGTTTTTCCCACACTGACATTAAAGATCTAATAAAATGACTCAGGAAGGACCCATGTGACTTAGCTTTTTCATACCACATATAAGCATGCTATCTCATCTGCAAGTCATGACCTGCAATTCTCTTATTTTGCAATGTTACCCATTCTTTTAGCCAAGTTAAAACAGACGCTTGATAATACAACATGCAGTCAGGAAGACCAAAACCTCCATTCCTTTTAGCTTCCTGAAGCATTTTTAATTTAATCCTTGGTTTCTTTTTTCTCCAGATAAATCTCGAGATATGAAAGTGTAACTCATCAAAGAATTTTTTATCAATTTTTATGGGAATCATTTGAAACAGAAACAGAAGTTTAGGTAATATATTCATTTTGACAAGTGCTATTCCCATCAAAGATAATTGTAAATTGGCCCATTTTTCCAAAAAGCCTTTAATATCCTTCAATAATTTATCATAATTATCTTCTTTCAAGGCGGTACATTTAGGTGTAAGGTAGATTCCCAAGTATTTAACCTTTTTAACAATCTGCAAATCTACTTTTTCCTGGAGTCTTTCTTTTTGTTCTCGCGTAAGGTTTTTAACTAACAATTTCATTTTTTCTCTATTTATTTTCATTCCCGTAAGTTCACCATATTCTTCAATCAGTTGTAGAAGTTTGGGCATTGTTGAGAAAGGTTCCTCCATTATAAAAAAACCAGATCATCCGCAAATGCTTGCAATTTATAACTTCCGTCCCTAATTCTAGTTCCTTTGATGTCCTCATCATCCCTAACACATCTATTCAGTACCTCTAAAATCATAATGAAAAAGAGGGGTGATAGAGGACATCCTTGTCTTGTGCCCTTTTGAATCTCTATAGGGTTTGAAAGTTCTCCATTAATTAATATCCTGGTCGATTGCTTCTGATAAATACTTGATATTGCATTCATAAATCTTTCACCAAACTCCATTTGAATCATCTGTTGTTTCATAAACTGCCAATTAACATTATCAAAGTCTTTTTGGGCGTCTAAAAACAATAAAGCCATTGGTTTTTCGGTATGTATCTCACAATATTCTAAAATATCCAAGGTAGTTCTCAGGTTGTTATTCATTTGTCTTTTTGGCAAAAAGCCATTCTGGTCTGGATGGATAAAGTCTATTAATAACTTCTTTAATCTTTCTGCGAGTATGGAAGCAAAATTTTTGTAATCCACATTTAATAGTGATATAGGTCGGTAATTTTGAATCTGTGCTACATCCATATCTTCTTTTGGTATTAATGTGATATTTGCCTCGGTCCAAGTAGTCGGTATTTTAGCATTTAACAATGCTTCATTACATATGTCTTTTAAGAGTGTTGCAAAAATTGCTTCGAAAGATTTGTAAAACTCGACTGGTAGTCCATCCGGGCCAGGAGTTTTGTCATTCTTTTGTCGCTTGATTGCTTCTGTTACTTCCATGATTGTGACTTCTTGGTTTAATAATTTTTGATATTTCTCTGGTAGTTTTGGTAACTCTTCCTTTTGAATATATTCTTTAACTTTCTTGATTGAAATCTTCTGATAAAGCTTTGTAAAAAAGTCTTCCACTATTTTCTTGATTTGTGCACCCTGTGAATGTAGCTGTCCTCTGTCTTTCAATTTCATGATCAATCTCTTCTCTTTTTCTTTCTTAACTTTATGTGCTAACCATCTCCCTGGTTTATTAACATTTTCAAAGAAATTCTGTTTGGTCAGTTTCATTTGTTTAGTAAGCTCATTTGTATCCAAAAGGTTTAACTTATGCCGTAAAATATCCAGCTGAGACTTAAAACTTTGTTTTGATGGGTCCTCCTGCAGCATTTGTTCCAATATCATCAATTCCTCTACTATCAGTGCTCGCTCTTGTTTTCTCCTTTTATTTATTTGCGCTGAGTATGTTATTATCACTCCTCTAACATAGGCTTTGGCTGTATCCCAGACATTTTGTAAAGTTTCTTCTGGTTTATTTATTTGAAAAAATACTTGCATTTCCTTATTCATCTTTTCTATGAATTTTTTATCTTTTAACAATGCTTTATCTAGGCTCCATCTGGGTGTCCTTACAGTTTCTTTTAGTGATAAGAATACTGGGTTGTGATCTGCCCAGACATTTGCCTCTATTTCAGCTTCTATCAGATCTGGTACTAAGTCTGGAGTTATCCAATTCTAGACCACGACCTATGTCTATTTGAGTAAAAAGAGTATTTGGCAGAAGATGGGTTTTTGTGCCTCCAAGCGTCTATCAGTCTAAATTCCTCAATCATGTTAGAGCAGGACTTTGGGAGTATCCTCCTACCCTTTTTTCCTTTACTAACCTTCTTATAATCCATTTGTTTATCCACAATCGTGTTAAAATCTCCCATTAGACAAATCGTCTGGAAATCCACTTGTAGAAGTAACGTGTAATTTTTGCTAAAATTCTCCTGATGATCATTTGGCGCATATATTGCCACTAAAAGTACTTTTTTCCGTTTAATTGTAATTTCAACCGTCAGAATTCTACCTTCCTCATCAGCAAGAATAAATTTAGGTTCCAGTTTTTCCTTAACATAGAGTGTTAGACCTCTTTTCTTTTGAGAAGTAGAAGATACAAACAATTTTCCCAGTTTTAAACATTCCAAAAGTTTTAACACTTTGCTTCTTAATATGTGTTTCGTGTAAACAAATTATATCTAATTTTCATTTTTGAAGTTGGGTGAAAACCCTTCTTCTCTTAGCGGGTCCATTCAGTCCATTAACATTTAAGGAGAGGAACTCAATTCTCCCTTCTCTTTTTGTAGCCATATTTAAGAAAAATTATATAAATATCTACTTATTTTTCACCTTTACAGCTCTACCCTTTCTCTTCTACTTTGGGTCCAAAATTTGTGCTTCTTGCTGTAGGTCGAGATTCGATTATTTAGTACTTAAAGGTATTATGGGTTCTTTTTATTGCCTAAGTAGCTATTTGGAAGTATGGAAGGCTGTCAGACTAGTATCTACAGTAGGACTGCCCCTATAGATTTCACAGATTACTTCACTGATCACTATGATGTCCAAAAGAGTACTTTTGTTTTAAGGAAGTTCCACAATCACCTGTAAGTGCTATTTTTACTTATATGCAGTTGAACTTTGACTTTTGCAGATTTGATCATTTGTAAGTTCTTCGTCATGGCCTCTGTGCATCACACATACGGGTGCTGCGCCTGCGCAGTGCCTTTGGCCGGAAGATTGAAAGCTAACCGTTTTTGGCGGGAAGCTCCGCTCCCCCTCCCCACTATAGCCTATAAAG